GAAAAATCTGTAATATATTAAATTCTATAGTTACCTTACATAGTTTTGATTACTTAGTCCGTTTACCACCCTAACATGCGTATCATAATTTGAATTACGGCGCTATACTTTATACTAATCTATTTCTGCCTACGTAGAGGTATCCTTTTTTCAAAAAATTTGCATATAAAAAAAATCGAGATGAATGTGGTGATATAGCGTCCACCGCGAGAAAAATCATTATTAATAGCGTGTTCTTGTTGATAAACTTTTCATGAACCACTAATTACATATTCTTCTTTTTTTAAGTCTGACCCAAAAGGACCACGAAAAATATAAGCAATTTCTTTTAACAGAAAATAATCCTTTTCTTTATTTTTTGGCAAAGGAAAGTTATAAGGTCTAATTAGCAGATTATAGCCATTTTCTTCCACATCTTTATAATAAATCCCCTAAAAAACCAAAGGCATGCACCTTGAACAGTATATATTTCTTAATGAATTAATAAAATGCAGTATACGTAGAGATGGGATCCGTTTATTTGTTACATATTTAAATTTAATAGATGTCCGATATCTGTATTAAAAAACAAGAATTCTATCTCTAATACAGTAGAATTCTTAATCCAAAAAAAAACCAGTAAATCATATCAATATGTAATTCCTTAAATATATAGTATAAAATCTATCTATCATTAGTTTTAAAATAAAATATATACGTACGTACGTAGAATACTGTTTAGTCACCTAAAAAAGAATATTCTGATCTACAATAAATAATAAATGAAAGGACGAATACTATTGTCGGGCGATCCTAAAAGAAAGTTGATCACTTTCACAAACCAAACTGGAAAAGACTCGCACGGATGAGAAAATCACAAAATACAACTATATATATACAACTACGTACGTATGTACAACTGAGCTTTAAAAAATATTATCTTATATATATATATATATTTTTTCATTTATGACTCAGGATTTTATAAACCAATCAAATCGAATTTTCATAATGTTTTTTTCTCCATAAATGAATCAAAATTTTGAAACCAATCAAAGTCAACATTTTGTTAACTTTAAATATATCAATATATATATATACTTAGTTTTTAGATACGCAACGTAACGATAACGATAAGCAATGAAAAATATTTAGTTAATTTTTAAAATTTATTTATTTATTTATTTTTTTAAATTGATCTTGCAGATTAAGGGGTTTCAAAATTAACAAATGAGTGACGCATTTCGAAAATAAGTAGGATTTTTTTCAATATATAGTATTTTATACTATGTTGAATTATCAATCGGAAAAATAAAATTTTATTTAATACAAATCAATTCTCGTTAGAATGAAAAGATAAAATTTAATTGGTACTTCATTATATCGATACAATGAGAATGAAAACTTATTTTTATCCAATTTTGATAACTGATTATTATGTTAGCTTCGTTCAAAGTTTGTAAAAATTTGGCCGTAGCTTCTTTTATAACATATGCTAGCTTGATAAAACATTAAAAACATTATATATATAATTTAATTGTGTAATTACTTAAATTTTATTATAATAATAATAATGATAATGATAACATAGAATTTCGGTTGTTTTTTTTAGCAATATAAGATGATTGGTTGTGAATAATCTCTTATTTCAGGTCGCTCTTTATATCATTACGTCTTGACAGTTGATCTAATAAGTAGATCATATGCAAACATTCTCGGCAGTCGATAATCAGTCGATCAGGGTCAAATAGGGTTTAGCATTTGTGCAGTAAATCGAGTCGTTGCAAGATTGATTACATTTTGTCACACAAAATTATATCGATATTCAGATCTTTTATTTCTGTATTTCTGCTAATTAGCGTTAAGTGTTTGCATCACCATTTTAATATTTAATTTTACAAGAGAATACCGATACCAATACATTTTTATAATTTATATTGGATATTGGATCTTAATTCACTTTACGACATTTCCCGATCGGGCTAATTTGGACAAAAACAGACCAAAATTAAATCGCATTTTACCTTTAACGTTAATATTTACTATCGCTATGTAATTGTTAATCCAGACTAACTAAAAAAATATCGTAGGTGATTGCCACATAGTCTAATCAAACAAACATATGTACTTAATCGTAATAATATAAAAGGAGTAATGATTTACTTCGCGAGATGAAGATTTCGCGCGACTTGCGTGAGATGATATCATACGCGCGAATTATGAAATTATAAATTATTCGATTATATAAGTTATGGAAGGCGAATTGTTATCACATGACTTTCGTGAAATAAAATCTTGCTCGAGATATGTGAAATGTATGCTAGGTTATCTCATACAGTACAAAGTAGGTTTCTATAAGGGTACTGCTTATATGTACGTACGTATTATTTTATTCATGCCCTCATCCATAATTATCATACAAATGTGTTATGATTTTAAAAAAAGTTTAGTTTAATTAGTTGTGACATAATTTTATTAACACAAATAAAATAAATACATGCGTATATATTTCTGTATTTTATATATAGTGTAAATTATAAAAAAATATAATATCTAAATTATACGTAATAAAGTCCATTATGCAATAATTAACACATATATGAATTCTTATTAAAATAAATAAATAATAATAATAAATATACGTAAATAAAAATTAAAAAAAAAGGAGTTTAATAATTATGCTAAGTTTATTTATTTTTATTAAAATTTTCATTTATAATGGCAAAAAAAAAAAAAAAAAAAAGGATAACTAAAATAAATAAATAAATAAATAATGGTTCATTTTGATAACTACGTAATGGTATAAGCCATAAGCCCCACAAAATTATTTCAAATATAATCGAAAAAATTAATTTATAAACGTATAAATGATATATTTGAAATAGTATAAATCATTAATTTTTTTTTTTTGTTTTTGTAAATAGAAATTATATGAATAATAAATAAAATCTGTGTTAAATTAATGATTAATTTACAAATACCTAAAACATTTTTATCACCCAAAAATATCTATATACAATATAAAATAAAGGTAAAAAGTACACAGAGTAAGACATATATACAAAGATATAAATAGCATTAATCTTATCGACAAACTTTGGGAGTTAATGTGACTCTAATAACGCCATCCTCATCAGTTGGCCCAGGTTTTCCAAGTGAATCCTTTTCTTCCGGTCGATAATGAACGGATTCAGCGACCGAATTAGTTAAAGAAGTGCAGGATGACCTAGTATTAGATTCTTTATCTGGAGTCGAACTTGATGTTGCGGGAATTATTGCTGTAGTAAGCGCTCGTATTTTTCCGGTCTTGGATTTTTTATTATTTTGCGCTTCTGTACTTGCAATCAAAGCCTCGAATTGTTCCATTTTTCTCAACTTTTCAGGATCTTGAATAGTTGATGTCGTATCATTAGCACGTCGTGTTTTAACTAATCTTATTACACGTGAAGGACTCAATGGCGGTGATTGTGGCGGTGAGTTGATCGGCGGTGATGGAGGTCGTGGATACGACATAAATTGCTGTTTTGTCGATTGTGGTGATAATGAAGATAAAGATATAGGTGGCGATATAGGTATGGGTGGTGATATATTTGATATTCCTGATTGATTTAATTGAGAACCTGAAGGTTGATTATTAAATAATCCGCCGGGTGGAGGAGAACGTTGGGATTGTAATTTCCTAGAAGTTTCTCCATTAGATTTTTGTTCAAACTTGGATTGTGAAAGGTGAGCGGGAAAAGGTGATTGATCAACAGATGACATTATTAAATTTAAATTTTCATCAGTCTTTGGATATCTTTTATCCGGTAAAGAAGAAAATAAAGAAGAAAAATCTCCTTTTATATTATTTGTGGTGGTCAAAGGAGATCTTGGAGATATTGGAGAAGATTGAGTATCTATAATATTTTCTTTATCAGATAATAAATCCGAATTTTCTATAGGTCTATTTTTTACATCTACTTGATGATTAATCAAATTATTTTCCGATGAAATTTCCAAAGGTTCTTCTTCCATAATATTCTTTTCCCTTTTTTCTCTTCTTCTTCTTTCACGTCTTGCTTCACGATCTTCTACTTTAGCATTACTACCTTTTTTCGTTTTTTTACGTATTAAAGGTTTTGTTGTAGTGGTGGGCTGAGAATTTGTAGGACATGATTGACCAAATGACATCATTAAGCTCTCTTCTAATATTTGTTGCCTAAATATTAATGAAGCGCGCCTTGCTTGAGGGACCATAATTGAAGCACGTTTTCGAGAAGAATTGGCGCGAGTTAATCGACTTTGATTGGCAGTAAAATTAAGAGAATTTCGTTTAACATTAACAGATGAGAGTAAATTTGAAACACGACCAGGTTTATTAGATGAAATATAAGAGGTACGATTAATATTAGAAGAAGCAATGGTACGTTGAGAACGATTTGGAAGAGGGACTAAAGAAGCATGAAGTAATTGAGGAGGCTTAGAAGGACCAGGTAACCAAGGGAAATCATAAGATTTAAGTGGAGGTAGATCAGCATCCATATCAGTGGGATCATTAGAAAATATTGGATTAGAGGTAGGAGCAAATTCCATATTTCGAGGGGGAATTTTATTTCTTCTGAAGCTTTGACCACGTTTAACCAATTTACGATTTATTGATTGAGTTTTGACAAGATGATGATTCTTTTTTGCCAATAATCTTGGATCAATAAATGAAGATTCTTTGGGTAATATAAAATCTGATTGATTTTTTTTTTGTAAAATTCAAACTTTTTCTTTTATTTTTTATTGGACCTATTGAAATGCGGTTTTTTTGTTTTTGTAGAAATTGATCCTGAATAATAGGAAATTTTTGTGAAGAGTCATTTTTGAAATTAAAGGAAACATGATTTTTATCTTGAGGTTGAGGAACAGGAGGAGGAATTTGAGATATAATTGGCGGTGGGGGAGACGGAGGAGAACGTTTACGTTCATACTCAACTTTTATATCAGAAGAAATATTTAATTGATCTTGATTTGAGTGACGATTCTCAACATTTATCGAAGAACGAGCAGGAATAACATTTTTAATAATAAATGAAGAATCAATATTAGAAGGAACATCTTCCGGACTGCCTAATACCTCAACTACTTTAGTTGTTGTTATGGTAATACCACCACCACCACCACCAAAGGATGAATGAGATGGTTTATTTGACGTCAGTGAAGAAGTTCGATGAGTATCTTGTATAGAAGAATGTTTCGAGCTCGTTAAAGAAGAATGTTTCGAGCTCATTAAAGACTTTCTCGCAACCTGTGCGGAGTCAACAATGTCATCATTGGTGTTAAGATTTTCAGCAGAGGATGAAGGCCAACTCAATTCATAAGTTCCATATCTTTTTATCGCAGAACGTCGTTTTTGCTCACCACCTTCATCAATTTGATTTATATGATTATAAGAGGAATTTCTAGAAGCAGAATCGCTAGATAAATGACGTCGATTGCTCTCTTCAGTTAGAGCCATATCTAGAGGGTCGTTTTGTTGATATCTAAAAGTTGAATTCCACAGTTGTCTAACGTACGAATATGGGTGCGTAACCGCACTACCGAAGGAATGAAATGCTTGCCGAAGCCGCAC